TTTTGGAGCTTTCGTAATTGTCAATAGTGAATTTCAGGTAATGATGATTCTAAAACTAAAAATGGCAAGACGAAGAGTGACGGCGCCCGTAGAAAGACTCAGCCGACCAGAAAAAGAAGTATGTTGACGGTTCTTGATTGTTTAGTTTTTGAGTGTTTTTTTTTATTTTCGACACATGATGCCTCATGCGCCTCATTATCGGGTTACTCTTGTTACCAGATATGCAAAGAGTACAACGTGATTCAATGTGTCTTCAACTATATTAGTGGGAATACGCATTATTGAGTGGAAATGCTTTCTAGCCGACATTGATATTGAAGCGCGTAAGCGTGAACTGATGGGAGGAATAAGGAGACTTGGTGGAACAGGCGCAACAAAGCCGATAAAAAAACATGGTATGTAGTTTCATGTCTTTAGTTTCCATGAAAGAGTTTAGGAGAGAATTTTCATTGATATCTTTTGTTTTAGAGTTTTCAGAAAATGATTTCCACTGAAGTTCTCAATGTTTGGAATTTTATCGCTTTTACCCCAGAGTGCCTCAAGTTAGGCACAGTGTATAAAGGACGCAGGAAAGACTGCTTGGAATCTGAGACTGTGATGGTTGATGAGAATCCATTTTTTCTATTCCTGCGACACTCTATGGGCATTTTTGTCGCAACTACGGTCCCAGGATATCTATTCTGGGTTTCACCTAATAGGTCGGGTTGATTTTTGAGCTAAAACGAACTCGATTTTATAACCCTAGACCCTTTTTTGTCATTGAGTATTCGTATTCCATCACCGAAGTTGGCTAATGAAACCCTCGCTCTGATCGTCGAGTGACTCTATCGGCCGCCAGTAAAACCTTCACTATTTCCCTGTCGTGTGCAAGAGCAGCTCAAGGCTTCTCAAGCGTTCCGCCTCATTCGGAATATCTGGTGGCTATCTCCAACTCAAAAATCATCATCGCGCGTCTCCTTTCCGTCTATGTCATTAGATAGTTTTACCAGCAGTTCTACCAGTACGCATTTATGGAAATACTGAAGCGTTACCGAGATACGTAGTCTGTGATAGACTCTGGTGCTTTTGAGGCTTAGATAGCAATTTAGAGTAGTTGTCTTACAGTCTGGATCAACTACCATAGTAGTTTTCGCTACCACTTTTTTGTTTCTGTGAACATTTTTTGAATAAAGCGTTTGTAAGGAATGCTATTTCATCATTCACTACTCAACATCTGTCAGCGTGATATCGACTACCCAGGCCAGAACCGCTGACGGTTGATTGCTGACAGATTGAAACATTGTAACGTAGAAAGAATGGTGGCAAAACGAGTGTCAGCAGTGCGGCGCGTTAGAGCACTCACCCTCGGTCAGGGTGAAATGCGGGTTCGAGTCCAGCCCGACGCAAAAGTTTTGCACTTTTCTAAAATAGTTCCTGCAATCTTATAGTCAGGAAAGTTTTCTAAATTTGTCTTATTGATTTTGTGTTTCCGAAACTCTCTGTTCCAGCACCATATACCGATAAGTACGCTCAACTAAAGAGGTTTTACGCTCAGAATGAGAGCACAGCTGCTTCGTCGTCAACGACATCGGCGTCTTGTCAGTTTTCAAGCTCATCGGATACTGTTGTGAGTGAAGATTCCGTTAAGATCTAGCCTGTTTAGCTTATTTTTTTCATTCCGATTATGGAGGTATATTTTATACTTTCTTCGTGTCAATACAAATTCAAGTGTATCTTGTTAATTTGAGTTCGTGATCCATTTATTTTCACGTTTATGTCAGTGACTGGTAATCGGCACAATATGACATTCCAGCTTCGCTTTGAGTGAACTTTGGATGAGATTGTACGTGTCGAAAAATAGTTGGATTGTATTCTTTAAGAATAAAGCTGTTAATATCTATAGTAAGATTTTGCGCCGCATGAGACTCTAAGGTGTCTGAGTGAGTGTAGTAGAAAACGGTCTCATGAATAAGAAACTTCCGAAAATGAATACTAGTGTTCTTTCGTCCATTATCTATCAGCTGGCTTCACTAATCTAAAGAACATGAATGGCTCCTCATCTAGGATGACGTTTGTTTTTGTTGTTCTCGATGACAAAGTAGCGATGGTACACTCGCTATAAACTGCCGTTGTATAAGCTCTCTCTTAGCTAAGCTCTCATATAAGAATGTCATGCATCTGAAGTAGGGAACCTTACCAAAAAGCTGAATCCACTGCTATACATCATGTTTTAACATCCACGTACAACTTTAGTTATGATGTGGGGTAAGACACTAGAGGGGTAGGTTGTTGTGTACCCGTATAAAAATCGAGTCTGAACATCCTTTGTAGAATGTCCTCATTTTTCCATAGCATATCTGGAGAGGATGAAATTCCATTCAAAAAGGTACACACACAAGTGTAAGGGGAAGAAAAGCTGAAACACAGCTATTGACTCTCTACCCTCTTTAGAGAATTATTCCATATTTCCATGGTTGTACATAACTCAACTGTCGTCACATATCTGCTTGTTGCTCGCATGAATCATCTGTCTTCGAAGCCGCTCACTCTATGAACAACGTCCGCAGCAGGACACATTGAGAATGGAGGCCCCCTTCGTAAAGAAGCTTTCTGCTTTTTACGAAGATTTGATATCTATGCTCACTCACACGGTCTGCACATACCGTCCGTTTCGAATGTTTTTCTTAACCTCTTGGCACTTTTTTTATAATTTTTAGCACTTTATCTGATCCGTCGCCATAGTGTCTTTTTCACTGTGCGGATCCTAGTACTTCTAGTATTCAATTCGTTCTTCGTCTTCTTTTTGATTGGCGTAGAATACTGGATGAGTGAACCTTCTTGCAATCTCGAGGATAGCCTTGCTGTGGCGTTTCTAGGACGTTGTTGTTGACTGCCGGAGAGAGATAGGAGAGTGGAGCTTGGCTCCACGCGCGCCATGACCATCATCACAACCACTCGGCCACGGCGCCCACCGCTTGACAACGACGTTGAAATCTTGCAGAGCACGTACGCGACCGCGTTGCGAGCTACAGTAACAATGTGGTAGTTTTTAATTAAATTTTGAAGCAGTCGTAATTTAGTGATTGAATTGTCATAATGATTTGATTGAGTACGATTAGTGAGACCTTAATAAGGCTATCGACGGTGGAAACAACGCTAATGTTTCTCAATGAACAAAACAAAAATGACGTTTTAGCAAATCCTTTCAAAAGTGTTTGTGCATATATTATGAGAACTTGTTATACATTGTATGCTGCCAATGAATTTAAATTTTTTTTGTATGTTACTGTGGAACTGCTATTCATTGGTTGTGTAGTATTCATCAAACATTCGAAACAAGCATAGGAATAATGGAATAAGTTATCAGTTGGGTACCAGATCTGCACGGGTGCGCGCGCCATCACATATTTACTGCGAGACAGACGAGAGAGAGAGAGAGATAGATGTGAGCTAATAACGACTCACACCGTTGTGAAGCGGCTAAGATCACGCTCAGACATCAATATGTCTATTTTTGAGCCTGCGTTGGCTAAGGCACTGTACAACCGACGAGACTGTCAAGGGCAAACACGCGTATATTGCACTATATAAAAGCCTTTGCTTCAAGATCAAGCTGTTCTTGAGATAAATCCGCTTACTACTCATGTACGAATGGCGCGTTAAAGAAAATGCTAGTTGAAACGGCCTGGTTTGGGACGATGGTATGGTTGCAGAAAGGACGGCTGGCAAGTGTTCGGCGAAGTTCAAGACCGGAGGGAACAGTTTGGAGGAAGAGTTCCACTCGAGCCGTACACAGGAAATTTCCCTTTAATCTTCCGCTCCGCTTTCTGGCATTTGCCCCTACGGGCCATTCGTGAATGAGTAGCAAGCGAATTTATTCGCGGGACAGCTCCATCTTGAAATAAATAGGGGCAAGTTGTATACCAAAATGTTCACAAGAAAATGCGCATTAGAATGGTAGCAAAATCATGGAATTTCGGGACTTCCGATCTATAAATTGGTGCTTATTGCTCTGATGCCAAAACTTAAGAAGTGACTTGAGAAATCAACCTATTTTCCGTTACAATTTGCGAAAATATTTTACGTCCTCTCGTAGCTCGCACGTCGGTGGCTTACGTGCTTTTCGGCGGTATCGCTCGCTTCATCGGACCCACATACCGCGCGCTAAATCCCAATTTATAGCTGGGATGGGAAGGCGGTGTTTTGGTGATGGCACGAGCTTTTTTCTTCGGCCGAACACCGTGACTAATGGTATCAGAAGGTTTGAAAAGAACGGCTGAGTAGCAGCAACAGAACGGAGTACTTCATTTTCATGGTAATCAATAGAAAAAATTGGCGGTAAACCCATGCTTTTTCAACAGTAACAGAGTCGGCATAAGGAAAGCTGCCCTACTGCCAGATATTCGCTCTATTCGATCATTGCCACTACGGTAAACCCTATAAATAAAGGACAGCGCTCATGTCGATCCTAGAAGTCCTCTTCTCTCAATTTTTTTTATGTCTTTTTTTGTAAATTTTTCCATCGGATCCTCGTGGCAATGTTTTGATCCTATGGGATAAATGTCCAGATTGGCCACTGTTTGAGTAAAGACGGCTGTAAATACTCGTACAGCTCCTCTTTGTTGGCATTTCTGTAGGAAGGGGTGTCTGTCATTTTTAGAGGTGCCTGGTTGATCTTGTCGTTTTGGGATTTCTCATCGAGGCACTACCATGACTCTCTGACAAAGTTGCTGAACAGAAAACGGTAAAGTTGTGGCATAACTTCCAAGTCAACAAATTCGGCAGGTGAAAAGCTGTACCGAAGACAAAATTGCGCTCCATTCGATCGTTTGCCACTACGGTAAGTCCTTTAAATGTGCGAGAGCGTCCGCTTCGATTTACGATGTCATTCTCGGAATGATTCTTGTTTTCTTTTCTCAATAGATCACCCATCGACAAAAATTCTTCTTATTTAACGGCTTTTTAGAGGTGATTTGATGTTATAAATATATCCAGTGATGTTGAGTAATGTGCAAAACGTTTGTCACCGGGAGGGGCTCGAACCCGCAAGTCACCATTCCGGGAGTCGCGTGCTTAACCAGTTGCGCTACCGACGCTTCTCTTGCCACCACTCATTGTACGCTGCTACACGTCAGTCTGTCAGCAATCAATGTGAACACTGTAGCGTAGAAAGAGTGGCGACGAAATAGGCGTCGGTAGTGTACGATTGCTCAGGGCACGCGCCACCGGAAGGGGTTAAATGCGGGTTCGAGTCCTGCCTGACTTCATAGTTTTGCAGATCACTCGGCATCGCTGGATCAAAAGGATAAAAGACAAAGCTTCCGGCAGTGAACAATCCCTGATGATGCGCCATGCATTAGTCTTCAGTTTTCAACTTCGTTTGAATGATTGCATGCATATCTGGCCGTTACAATAACTCGCGGTGGCCTTCCGCTGTATCGAGTCAGTGCTGCTTATTCTCCCAGACAAATCTGAGACCAGCCTGGTACCAAGTCACCGACCCCGGAGGGATGGATGGCTTAATAAGCCATGAGCGCGAGATCGAACCATTGACCTCGTGTGCTACGCAGAGCACCTCTAGCCACTGTGCTACATGCGCTCTTATCAGTAGATATAGTTGTAAAATTATATGTGTTTGAAATTACCAATATTTCAGTACAGACGGGTGCTACTGCCAATAGAATCTTAATCTGTATATATTTTGATAAATCATTTATCACATATTCTCGTTGCTTTTACTACTTTAGAGGAAGGGGTTACGAGGTGTACACAATCTCGAGGAGACACGTATCTCAGTGGAAAGTTGTCGCCTTTCACACATTTTCTTACGAGTCTTCCACATCCTCGGAACCTCGGGAATCTTCCAAAAAGGATTTGTTAGCCATGAAAGACACATTGGGGAGGGGGGAAGGGGGGGGGGGGGTGGTGGCTAAGAGGCACAGACACGATTCAATCACGTATAAACCATAGGTCACGATCGCATCCGCACTCTGATCAATTAGTCGTCTCAAGCGTTATCGTCGATTTTTCCTAGAAACTGTTTCCGGCCTTAGATCAGCGGTGTTTGCATGTCAGTTTTGATTTAGACACTGTGTAAATGTGTTGAACGTGAATAATCTCGTGAAAGCTCGTGTTGATAGTGAAGCGAAATGTGGCATTCATAAGCCAATGCCAACTTCTTCAGTGTCATTTTGCCTCACTGTCTTTTCGCAGATCACTAGACTCCTTGATTCCTTGTTTTCGTGAGTCCTTATACTCACCTGTTGAAGAATTACACCGATCGTTGTCGATCCTAAGACACCTCGTCAGATTTTGTAATCTTATGCTGTCTGCCGTTTTTGTAAATCATGGATATATGACCCCTCATTTTGCTTCTACCTTCTTTCAGAGCCAAAGATTTCTCTATCTTTTCCTGCTGAATTTCCAAACTATTCGCTTTATTTGTTCTGCATATTGTCTCCAGATATGGTGGAAATCTTGGTGTCAATGCGGTTTGTTTTGAAAGGCTGTCACTTTAGGTCACGACAAATGTCCATCTGCAACAAGCGAACTTTTGGAAAAAACCGAGCAAAGTGTGAATTAGAACAGAGGCTCCGAAGATATCAGTAACAATGGATTACGCGGAAACATTATGGATTTATATATCGAGGCAAGTCAGGTAATGTTTTAGTAAAAATTTTGTTTTTTTGAGCACTGCTAAGACAGCCGTGTTGAAAGTACGACTATAGGAGGGGGAATCTTTGAGTCAAACTGCAAGGCAAACTGGGCATTTTTTTCCTTTTAGGTGATGACAAATGATGAAACGACCCCTTTCGCTGGGCAGTAGCTTTCATTGCACTTTTGTTAGTCGTTCGAAAGCCTAAATCTCTAAATATCGCGTTGCTACATGACCGTATCTTGAAAAAGCCTAAATATAACGCTGTAGCAGAAAAAAATGCATAAGTCTGATAATCTTTTGAGCAACGCATGTCAGTGGTCTATCGATGAGGACTAACTAACAGAGCCGATACACGTGTTTCAATCTTGCGATCTCGTCAGTCGGGCAGTTACCCTTTCTCGTCGTTTGCTAAACTCTGTGGGTTCTCCAGTCCCCACACTAAGAATTAGCGACGACGAACGTTTTACACACTATTTGCAGTGAAATTCTCACCGAACACAGAGTGTTGTACACTCGATTGCTCTTGGCTAGTATAATCAATATATCATACCTTTCGTTTCAAGTGTTTTCTTAAGACGATAGCTCAAATTTCAATATGCCTGATAATCATTATTTTATATTCAAATTTGAGCTGTGGTCTTAAGAAAACACTTGAAACGAAAGATATGATATATTGAATGTACTAGCCAAGAGCAATCGAGTGTACAACACGCTGTGTTCGGTGAGAATTTCACTGCAAATAGTGTGTAAAACGTTCGTCGTCGCTAATTCTTAGTGTGGGGACTGGAGAACCCACAGAGTTTAGCAAACGACGAGAAAAGGGTAACTGCCCGACTGACGAGATCGCAAGATTGAAACACGTGTATCGAGCTCTATTAATCAGTCCTCATTGGTAGGCCACTGACATGCATGGCTCAAAAAATGATTATCAGGCGTATTGAAATTTGAGCTGTGTCTTAAGAAAATACTCAAAACGAAAAAAAAAAACATGTGTTTCACACATGCCTATTTGTCGCAGGGTAGAACTGCTTCTTGGAATTATGAGTAACCGTTCGATAGTGTAAGTTTCGATGGTCCCAATGCCGTGTTGAAATTCTAAAAAAAATTTCGCAACGGTGTACAAAGGAAAATTAGATTGAATTTCTCATAAGTGGCGGTATTTGTTGACTAGTATGCGTGCTGGAAGTTGGGAGGGGGAGGGGGAGGGGGGAGGTATGAGGGGAGGTAGGGAGGGAGGGCTGACGAGGGGAAGGTTGGTACTGGATTCCATACGGCGATCAATCAATCGCGTTGGCGCGTTATACATGTATAGTGCAGTTTTCTTTATTTGGAGTTTTTCCCTCTTCGAAAAAACCTTTATGACTCTGATACCACAAGAATCACTCTACTCGTTCATATGCTCATAGTATCTTCCGTAAAGTGAGAATGAAGGCGCGCGGCAGGTGTAAAACATGGTTTTAGGTTGAATGCAACGTTATATTGAATGCAACGTTATGAGAAGGCTGTTCCAAAAAACAACCACGTAACGCAGCAGCCAAAGACGTAAGCTTTCGAATGAGTTCCAACAATCTTTTATTCAGCGAAAGGGATCGTTTTTTCATTTGTCTCCGTTCAACAGAAAAGAGCCCGACTTATATTTATTAGCACTCATCGAAATCGGCAATGGGAAGCGATCGGGGAAGTTGGTGTTCTCGATGGCTCGTATCCTTTGTCGACCTTCTCTATACAATCGACCATTACGTGAAAGGAGGCACCGCGACCTAGTGGATAAGATGTTCATCGCGGTGCTCGTGAAGCCGAGCTCCACTTTCTAACCTATCCTGTAGTCAACAACAAAGCCTTAGAGAACGCCACAGCTAAGCTGTTCACGAGATTGCAAGGAGACTCGCTAGTATTTTACGATGTTTAAGAAGACGAATAAGCGAATCGAATGTTAGAAGTACTGGAATCAGCACGGTGAATATAAAATTCTAGGCAGATGGATCATTTCATTATTATTTGGGCCGAATTGTCATGTGGTCTGGTAAGGGCTCTTGTGCAGCCCGATACACGTGTTTCGTCCTTACAGACTCTTCAGTTGGGCAGAATCCATCGTCTTTTGATATTTTTATGGTCACTTCTCTCGGGAGCTCTACTCCCTTACAGAGAGTTATCGAAAACAAGCCTTTTACACTCTAGGTCAAGTAAAATTTTCACCTAACACGGAGTGTTTGCGCACTCGATTGCTTGTTGGCTGGTATTTTTATCATATTATACCTTTATCAAGTGTTTTATTAAAACCACGCTCAAATTTCATAAGTCTTTCTATTATTTGAGCCAACTTGTCATGTGGTCTGGTAAGGACTCTTGTACAGTCCAATACACGTGTTTCGTCCTTACAGACTCGTCAGCCTTGCAGAATCCTGTGTTAGGTGAAAATTTCTCTTGACATAGAGTGTAAAACGTTTGTCTTCGATGACTCTCTATAAGCGAGTAGAGTTTCCGAGAGAACTTACTATAAAAATATTGAAAGACGACGGGTTCTGCCCGACTGACGAGTCTGTGAGGGCGAAACACGTGTATTGGGCTGTACAAGAGCTCTTAACAGGCCACATGACAAGTAGGCTCAAATAATAATGAAAGGATCTATTGAAATTTGAGCTTGGTCTTAATAGAACACTTGAAATAAAGGTATAAGCAGACGGACAAATAAAGTGCTATCGCATGTAACTTTTGTCGACTTTCTTTATCCAGTTGACTATTACGTGAGATGGTGATCATGGCTGTACGACGGTGTGATAACTCTTGAAGTTGTATCATTCATGCGAGATATCTCTTGTTATATTTCAATAATGAACGATTTTTCCCTAGACTGCTTAATTCCAAAAATCCTGACTGAATCTCAACAAAAAACATATAAAGGAAGTCGTC